CGGAGGCGGGGGGGTGCAAGGGTCAGTTTTATGTAAAACCAAAGAAAAAATAAGCCTTTGGTACAAATAAGTAACAAAATTCACAGAGTGGACAGTTGCGTTATTTATCTACAACAGTGGCCACTACAAAGAAATCAGATATAAAAAGTTTCTTGGTCAGAAGCTTACTATGCATTTGGAACATCTATTTCCTTGTAAGAAGAGCAATCAAATACAAAGACAGTAAGTGTAAAGCTTTCTGGCTTTCCAGAGCTGCCACGATCTGAATTTAGAAACTGAAGGGAAAAAAAAAAAAAAAGCCTATCAAGTTTGTTCTCCAGATATTTGAATAAAACAAAGACTTACAAAAAAAAAAAAGCTCCACCACCAAGCATATGTGCTATAAGGGAGCATTGGGATAGAAAAGAATGCTGCAGATACTTAGATCTTTCCTCAAGTTACCTGTATGTTTTGAAGAACTCTGTCTCTGGAAAGTGAGGTCAGTGTGCAGACACTATCTAAAGAAACAGAAAGGCAGGGAAAAAAAAAAAAAAACATCTCAGAGATAGGATGATTTTGTATTCACTGTACTGCACAGCGACCAAGAATAATGTTCCTGAAGATGAGAAACAAACTCCCTTCCCAGAGAGCACCCTTAAGCTGAACATCTTCAGGAAATATTTCTGCTCCTGGGTTTTCCCCACCACCCTGACGCTCTTAGTTGGTATTTCTCTGAGGGAGAGGGAGGCTCTCATGAAGATACTTCATACTCCCATGCTCTGAGAAGTCAGAAACAACATGATTGTCCCCCCTCAGCAACCACTTCGTAGTTAAGAGTCCTTCAATTCCCACTGGTCCACGTGCATGGATACGAGAAGTACTAATTCCCACTTCAGCACCTGCAGGAAACACACAAGATAAAGGTGGTTAATACTCAGAAGATGTTCACTTCATACTAAGCACTTCTGCACCTTTATGTAGAAACAGCTGCCTGCCTTTCAGCGACCTGCCCTTCCCTGCTCCTCTCCAAATGCTAGAAGTTACGTTTACCTGCTATGATTTAAAAGTTACAGGAGCTTAACTATTACTTACAAACTGTAATGTTTATGCTTTCGGCTGCTAGAGAGTTACTTTCAGAGTGAGAGATGCAAGAGAGAGACAAGTTATCTCTTACACAGATCTTAGACTTGTTTCCTGAGGGTTTAATCCTTTAAAAAAAAAACCAGAGAGCTAACTTAAGTCAAGGCTGTGAACTTATGTCCTTTTTTATCCTATTGAGGAGATATTGCAAGACCCTAGCTAGAATTTTTTAATCACATGAAACACTGAATGTTCCAGCTGACACAGTAATAGCCTGCTACAGAGGCTTCTGAGTTTCCTTCAAGAAAGAGCGTTCCCCTTGTCTTCTGCAATTCACAGTAGGTGCACCTCTTTATTTAAGCAACTGATAGTCAGTTTGGTTCCTGCCTTTCATTCTTCAACACTGCAGGGCTGGCACACTGGATAGCAGCTTAGTCTGCCCAGCAGGAACAAAGCATGGCATTCTTTACAGCATAATTAGAAAGATAAACAAAAGAAAGACTGTTCACCAATTTCAGTTCCTGTGTTGCATTGTTCTGTCATTACATGTATGCAACACACTTTATTCTGATTGAGCTTCAAAGGATCCAAAACATCTTTGCTCCCTGATGCTGAATTAATCTACATAGTTTGTGTAGCAGTATTAACTAGTTCTGGCAGGAAAGTGGTATTAAACTATCTGCTGTTCCACATGGATGAAATGTCTAGGCTTCAACTTCTTCTACAGTACCCTTCCTGAAAACTTTACATTAGACAGCAAGATCAGAGACTAATCCTATCTTCCAGGATTCAGACTGCCATACTTTTCACACAATAGCAAATCCTGCAGTCACATCCCTGCAGTATCTTCTCTCTTACCAAGTCCAAATCTATAGCCGTCAGAGAATCGGGTACTGGCATTCCAGAAAACACAAGCGCTGTCTACATGCTGGAGGAAGAACTCTGCTGTTTTCTCTGGGAAAGAGGCAGAGAGAAAAATAAAATCCAGCACATACAGAATGATCATGCACTCCAATAGACACAACATAATATAGTGAACAGACACAAACATACAACTTTTAACATGCAACCTTATCAGACAGGATTTAAACAGCCTGGGCTAAGACATGTTCATTGACACCTTCTTCCCACTATGCTTACCAAGTAGACACAGCTACAAATGTGGTAAGAAGCTTGCAAAGATTAGAAGAAAGCAAAAAGATGTCTAATTCTAAATACATCCAGTCTAGAACCTGCAAACAGGGATACGGTTGTATGACCGAGGAGAAAGGGCAGCTGCCCCAAACATTTTTGCAGTCAAACAGACAGTGAAACTGGAGGAGTCAGATCTCCATTAATCTCAAACATGGAATTGTTCCAGATAATGAAAAATCCTAAACTAAACTGTGATTGCAGGTAATATTTGGGAAACACAACACAGAACTAACATATGAAATCAGCTAGCCAACCCAGTTTAACACAGAACATGCAAGACCTGAGCAAGCTCAAGCAGTTATGCAAGTCTCAGTCCTCTGGAGGACTCCAGTCTCTGTAATGCCGTGAGCCGCAGGTCTGTTGCCCTTAGTGCCAGGATGAACATCAGAGATCAGCTCTGTTTCCAGTACACTCCATAGCAAACCACTAGGGCACCGGGTCCCATGGCAGTGCGTTATAGTATCGAATGCGTACCTTCTAGTGACACCCGTTTAAACTCATCAGGAGGCAGAGAAATGGAAGCTCGCTTGACTTGCACACTGATCAGCTGCAGATCAACATGATCAGCTGCAGCTGGTCCTCAGGAGCTCCAAGCTTGGTCTGAGAGTCAACCTTTGGCTCCAGCTCCAGCAAGGTTCTGAACCAGCACAGTGTTCAAACTGCACGCAGGACAGGTGCTAGGGATGGGAGCAGCACAGTGCTGCACAAAGGAGCACAAGCTCACAACAAAGAGGCAAGAAACTGCAAACTGCGATAAATGCAGCTTTTATACTAGGGATGCAGAAGTGGGAAGTAAAGGACTGGGAGAGGTATGGTGAAAACATTTGTGGTCCTTGTTTGCAAGACACAAAAATGACATGGGAAGACAAAGCGGATAAAGTCTGATCTTCCCTACAATCCCTACTCCCTCCAGTGAGGTACTAGAGAAGCTCACCTCATCAGCCTTCAGAGGCCTAAGGACATGTCCTGAATCCTGGAGATGTTCTTGCAAAACCCTCTGATGCAGTAAGCCTGCACAACACAGCAACACAAAGCAATTTGCCTGGCAAGAGCATGTGCTGACTTGCCATCGGCCAATTGCTCAAGCGTGTTCCTTAACATCCTGGAACAAGGGCCACGCAACGTGTTTTCTCTGAGCTAAAGAGGGCTGTGGGCACATTGAGCTCTTAGGCCTTCGGTTGTTTATGCGCACTGCAGACCCAAGAGAAGAACAGCTAGTGCGTTGTGAGTAGTTACCCTAACACCAAGGCTCAGCAGTCAAACCAAAACAGCGGCTTAAGGAAGCAGACTGATCACTAACCATTCTCTGTGATGATAACATCTGTGTGGGAACTGCCGTACTTGTGGATATGTTCAACAGCCTCTTGGACGCTGTCCACCACCTCAATGCAGCACTCCAGGTCCCCATATTCTGTGCGGAGAGACTTCACTTCCGAAGGGCTGAATGTCAAGTAAGATGCAAACTTTGGGCCAGCGTGAATCTTCACCTGCAATGCCAGAAACATTTTGTGCTGGTGACCATACCAATGCTTTCCAGGTATAAGCGTGGCTTCTCGTACTCTGTGTGGGATGGAGTTAATTTTCTTCATCACGGTCCTTATGGTGCTATGTTTTGGACTTGTGACTAAAACAGCATTGCAAACACACCCATGTTTTGGGCTATTGCTGAACAGAGCTTGCACACCATCAAGGCTTTCTCTTTTTTCCCTACTCTGTCCCCATAGTGAGAAGGGTGGGAGAATGCAAGAAGCTGGGAGGGGACACAACCACCATAGCTGACCCAAACCACCCAAAGCGATATTCCATGCCATATAATTCCATGCCCAGCAATACACACTGAGGGGAGGGAGTTTTTGAAGAAAGTAGGCATTGCTCAGAGACTGGCTGGGCATTGGTCTAGTTGCCGCAGATGGTGAGCAACTGGTTTTGCCTCACTTAAATGAGGGTTTTTGACGGTTGGGTTTTTTGTTTGTTTGGTTTCTCCCCCCCTCTTCTTCTCCTTTCTTCTTCCTCTTTCCTTCACCTACCAAACTATCTTTCAACCTACAAGGTTCCTTGCTTTTGCTCCTCTTAGTCTCTCCCCCCATCCTGCTTGGGGCAGAGGAGAGTGAGTGGGTGGCTGGATGGTGCTTAGCTGCTGACTGGGATTAACCCACAACATTTGTGAATCAAGTGTCCACTGCATGCAGTGTAAGAAAAATAAGGTTACACTTTGGGAAACCTAATGGATTGGTGAACTAGTGACACGGTACAATAGCTGACACGGTAGGTTGCCTACCTACCATGACATGCTCCTAGTTCAGGACTCATTTCAAATTATTTAAAGCAATCACATCACTTGGAAAGTCATCAGACAGGAGGACAGTGCAAAGCCAGCACTGGGAAAATAGCTAAAATATTACATCTAGCCCTTGCTTTAGGACAGCAACTGCAGTGCAGAGAATAACTACACAAATGCTTCTAAGTTTGCACCTACAAAAGACCTAAGATCTTCAATGGCTTTTACCCTTTTATTCTGTAAACTGACACCAGCCCTCTCTGATGCATGTGTTTCAGACACAAAGGAGTTGCTGCGTCCAAAACAAGAAAACTCACACAGCTATTTTTCATTTGTTATAAAGAAGATCTAATGCATTATCAACCTCCGAGTTTAATCATAGCAGCCGAGACACCTAAGCAATGAGAGATAATTTAGAACTGATATGGCAGAGAAATCCTCATGCAAATGAAACACAGGAAATTTTGACAAGACAAACACAAATGGGAAATAAGGCACAAGTCTGCAAAATTTCAAGGCTTTTAAGAAATAATCTGTAAAATGGCATTCTCTTGTGCAACTATAAATTACTCCGATTGCTCAATCCTGACCAATATTTGCATGTTTCTTGTTGTCGGGTCAGACTAAATAGGGGTAACATCCTCCCCGCTGTATTAGGAGCTGGGTGGGTAGTGGTGGAAATGCACTAGTCCTCACGTTCCTCCCATCCAAAATCCAGAGATCTACCCTTAACCACAGCCTTCCCGAGAATCAACCAAACAAGACATGAAAAAAATCCATTACGTGGGGACTTGCTCCTGACTACCTATCAGCTTCTTTTACTATGACCCTTTCAACATCATCAAAACATAAAGCCTCTCTATTTTACCTGCATTAATCACTGCTTGTACACTCTATTGCCAACACAGACCTATGATCTACGAGCTATTCGCACTACTTCATGGATATTTCTCTCCCGATGCATCTCTGTTACCCTTAAAAAACATGACTCAAGTCAAGAGTGGAGATAAAGGGCATGCAAGATGAAAGGTTTAAAAAAAGTGGATAGACGAAACAGATTCAGAAAGGAAAAAAAAAAAAAAAACCAGAAAGGGAATTCACTTGGGCAAGAAGCTAAATGAATAGATTCAAGAAGAGGAGGCTTTGCATCTGGGAAGTTAACTGCAACAAAGTCAGAATGAAGAAGGGTAGAGAAAGGGTTGTGTATGTGCTCTTCTGAGGCAGAAGATGATTTTTGCTACGTAAAAGGAAGTATTTGTATCCTAGTAATGGCACATAGCTGTCCTGAAGAAGTTGCTTTCAGGTAATTTCTATTAAAAACTTGGGGTCATGGGGAGAAGCAGAGAAAGTTCTCCATAAGTTCATTTACATGTACAAAGAAACATATGGATAACTTAAGTGTGATGCCATCATAAAACTACACAGGGCTATACCAGCCAGACCAAATGCTTCTGAAGCGTTAGAATAGCAACCACAAAACAAAACACAAGAATGAGTGACTAACCTGTTCTACTCTCAACATGTCTATGATCTGATCAAACAACGGGGTTCTCAGCAAGTCTCGATGAATTAAGAGAGTTTCCAGAGCATTACAGGCAGCAGGATATTCACACTTTGAGTCTCTGACTGAGGTTTAAGAGTAGATAATTGGTTACATAACATTTATGACAAAGATTTTGAACAGCATATGAATTATCAATTGCCACAACCATATTGCATATTCCAAATATGAAGTTCATTTACACCCATGAGATTCAAGGCATCATTTCCCAGCTTACTTATTCGTGTGACCTTCTCAACGCTGGCATCTGTGTCCACATACACATGACAGATCCCTTCACTGTGTCCCATCACTGGGATTCCCTTAGCAGCTTTCTGGATATTTCTGACCAGCTGTGACGAACCACGTGGAATGATTAGATCTATCAGCTTATCCAAACGGCAGAGATCTTCTACCTCCTCTCTCGTGTTCACCTGTGGTAGTTGCAATACAAACAGTCTATGGTTTGAACTCTCGTGTTTTGCCCATTATTCTTACACATACCATAGCAAAGAAATTGTTGATTTGATTATAGGCACTCACTAGTTGCACTGCATCTTTGACTCCGTGAATGGAGAGTGCTTCTTGTGTCAGAGGATGAAGGATCTGATTGCTATGTGCTGCCTCTTCCCCTCCTTTAAGTAGCAAGCCATTTCCACTGGCTATGGCCAAAGCAGACACCTTTCAGAAAAGATTAAAAATAAAAAATAAAAAAAAGAAAGAAAGAGAAAAGTAATCTGTCTCTTCTGTTGAAATAACACACACAAATAGATTAAGAACAGGATTTTTAATCCTGTTTTACTCAATGTTAATCTATGGGTTTCATTTTATGGCACAAAAAAAATAATTACATGTAACAGCACATTTAACTCCATAAATGAAATGTGTTAGGGTTTCAGGAACAAACTTGAATTTTCAGGGTACTATTGCCAGTGGGAGACTGCAGTGGACAAGTCAGAGGAAACCCTGGACATAGGCTCTGGTATGAATTGGGTAGCTGTGTGGGCAGTCACCCCAAGGAAAATAATTTCAGGTGCAAGAACTCTTGTCCCTAACCGTTCTGGCAGAAAGTGGCTAATGAGCTCTTCCTCTGAGCAGGAAGAACATTTTCATTGTGCTGTCTAAAACAGAAGTCACAAATAGACAACACGCCATAAATGCGGGGAATAAACCTTCGAGACAACAGGCCCACCATCACCTGTATCACTTTGCTTTCATGTTTATAACCAGAAGGAACCAACTGATGTCGTTGCCAGATTTCAGCCATTTGAGTCCAGCAACACAACTACACCGTGTTTCAAAAGAATGCTCCAAAGAAGCCACCGCTTTTCGGAAGTTAGATAAAAAAATGACTTCTGCTGTTGAAAACATATACCCAATAGATTCAGTCTCCAGGCACTAGTTCTTATTGGTGGTTTCCCCACTAAACTGAAAACCTCTTCAACAGAGGTGTGGTGGTAGGTTTTTTTATTGTTTGTTTCATTTTTTTGTTCTGTTCTACCTAGCAGTATGTCAGACATGATAAAGCTCTCTTCCCAGACTTATTTTACTTGTGTATCCCTTTTTGCCTTCCTCACCCCAATCCCATTCACAATGGCTTCACAATTTTTCCTTCTATTTGAAAGAAGATAGCATATGCCCCTTCAGAAAACATAATCGCATCCTTACAGAACCTTTCAGAAGGAACAAATTACGCATTTGACGTTATTTTACTGTATTACTATCTTCTGGGAGAGATCAGGTGTATCATTATCATCATTCGTATGTATCATCACCAAACCTGCACTCATTAGTGTATCAATCGCATGCTGTTGAGGAGTGGGTGCCAGAATTAGTCAGGCTCACACCGAACAAGCAGTTAGCTTAGTGGCACACTTTGGATGCTGACTCATACAGAAAAATGTTAAGTCCATCAGATACTTCTTCTCAGTCACCTCCTTTCCCCTTCTAATATCAAATGGACAACAACAATCATAATGTTTGATATCCTACCTCATCCTGTCAGCAATTTGAAAAGAATATTGAAAAACAAGAAATACTTCAGAAAAATACACTAAAGCATAATAGCGTAGGAAGCCTGCCTTACACAGATATTTTGTGTCTTGCTAATTTATAAAACTGGACACTAAAAAGCCATCTGATTGTATTTTGAAAGTATCTTGTAAGTATCTGCCTCTCCAAAGGTCAGTATCACAAGCGAAAGCCAAACAAATAAGCTTATTTAAATAAAGAATTCCACTCTGAAGGCATAAGATTACAAGACAGCTTATGAACTGGTTTGAAAAAAATAGTAGGAAAAAAACCCCCAGAATTAAGACACAAAAATAAAAAACTTTGTGATTAAAAGGAGAACAGAAGATAAGGGGTTTCAAAACAGTTCAATCCCTTCAAAGAACAGTAGAGCATGACCACACTTCAGAGCGACAATTGGACTTGGTGGAATCTACAGGAAGCGGTTTGTGACAGATGCTCGCAATTTGGCCTTTGTAAGTATCAGACGCAAACATGCCGTGTATGCTCATTAGAAGCTTATTAAATCTTAACTGGTAACCTGCAATAGTTTCACCTTTACTGCAACTCAAGACTGATCTCTGAGCACTGACCTGACTCTGCGTAAGCTATCTCCAGCCAGCAAATCCAGCACACTGTCTTCCAGGGCAAAGTCAAATTTCCCCTGCAATTGCTTACCCAAACAAGCATGGGACAGAAACCTGATGCCAGTAGGAGGACAGGAGGCCCCATGGACTTGTGCACCTTCACGGAGGGAGTTGCCTTCACCCCCTCACTACAACTGAGTAAAAGCTATCGTTCTGCCTCACTGCACACAAGCAGTTATTAGTGCAACACAGACCACCCCAACCCTGGAGTTTCTGTGCTTTCTGTGCTCAGTAACTCTTACAGTTAATTACTAGCATCTGTATTAAACCGTTCCTGTTTAATCCCAGACTGCAGTTCAGCAGTTCAACTGCATGCAGCATGGACAGATAAGTGCTCATTGGTAGGAGCCGCCCGAGCTGTGAGTTAGGCACTGAACAAACATTTGTAAGACACATGCAGGAACTGCACCATCTATATGTAAGATAACTCCTTCTGTATGTCAGGTTTACAAAAAAAAAAAAAAAAAAAAAAAAAAAAAAAGGCTTGAATAACTCTCAACACTCTGAACACTGCAGAAGCAAGTCCTGAGAATATCTCTGCAGGAAAAATAGGGATGCCAACAAAATCAGTTTTAGAAGAATTCAAGCAAGAGTCCTCTGAGACAAGCCTTCTTGCAGCCTCCCAATTGCTCACCAACAGCAATACTCTTTCTTGTGTCATCAAAGAATTCCAACAGTGTGATCTGCCCTCCTTACATACCTGTGGAAGACAGTCAGGACGGGACTCAAAGATCACAAGAAGGACACCAATAGGCACTGTCACCTGCTCCAAATCCAGGTCTTTTGCTATTCGTGTTCGCCGAATTACACGGCCAACACTGTCCTGTGAGGATGCTGCAATCTGACGCAGACCAATAGCCAAGCTGTTCAGCTTTGATGTAGACAGACTTAGACGTTTCAACAAAGGAAGTGCCAACTTCCCTAAAAGAGAGAAAAAATTTAGCTGGAGATAGATTGGTCTGCCTAGGCTCAAGCAAAAGCAACTTAAACCAGTGCTAAACCTAAGGAAAATTCAGGTATTTCCCAAGCCCTAGCAAGAAATCTACCCAAGAGGAAAAATGCACAGCATTAAGTTGGGTAGCCACAATAAAACCACTCAAATGTGACAATTATTTCACCCACCACTGCACTGTCACTTAATGCAGTTTAAGCGATTCGTACAGGGAGCAACATCAATATCCACAAAGACAATGTTTGGCCTATTTCAAATACTGCTAAATGCCTGAATTTCTCACTAATTTCTACCCTTACAGCATTTCTGGAAGGTTCGGGCACTGATTTCATTTTTCTGTTTTACAGACAGAAATCCCAAAGCACAGACATGTGCACAGCATTTCTGTTCAGACTGGGCAAGAACTACCTGACTGTTCCAGTCCGAACACGCTCAGTCAGCAAGTTAACCCAGCAATGTCCCCTCAAGTACTCTGGTCAGTAAACAAGTTTCCTGGTGTCCTTCACAGAGTACTTCAACTCATGATGTGTCAGTTTCATACAGGTGCTAGTCCAATATGTACACATCCCGATCCCAACTTCTCAATTAATGCATCAATCTAACACAGAAGAATGAGTTTAATCCAAGTCACCTAAAGAGAACCTTCCTCAGTAAGAAGACGGTTCTTTTTGGTGAGCATCAATTTAAGTACAGATGACAGGCTTCCCCTTAGGAGCCAAACATTATCTTAACCAGCTCAGAAAATATTCACTTTACGCATAAAATAACAGAGATTATGTTTCTTATATTCCATTTCTGAAGTGAGCCTCCATTGGCAAAATGGAGCACTAATTTTTTTTTTTATTTTTTTTTTTACAATAAAACACCACTGCTTGGTGTTCTGCAAGGCCTCAGTATCTTCTCTGATGAAGGCATTTGTTTTATGTAATTAAGGAAGCCGCAGCTGTTTACACTGACAAGCTGTTGAGGTCCTGGGTTCACTGATCTGTGACAGCCATACTACTCATTCCCAGGTGACAGAACATTCTAGTTCTGCTCATTTCCTTTGAGGTCCAGACAATAGGATTACCACGTAAGGACTGGAAATATTACCTTTATTTTCAGCCTCTTCTAAGTCCTTTTTGTTTGCCAAGAGAATTTCTTCTCTCTGGTCAGTTAGTAAGTCAGCGAGACGATAAATAATTTCTGCTCTCTGAAAGAGAAAACAGTCAGTAAGAACTGACTTCTTACACACTATTTGACACCCAGTTCCTTCCAGTTCATTTATGTTGACCACGTCCTCTCACGTGACTCCTGGAATACTTGGGGCCATCTAATTTTTCCAGCCTGCATCACACTGAAAAGTGAGGCTGAACACTGCTTCAGCCTTTACTTTGCTTTTTATTATCTTGCTTTCCTTCTTCACCAAGCCTACCATGTTCTTCCTTTGAGACCACTTTGTCTTCTTCACAACAGAAGCCACATTTTACCTACTCAGCTGCAGAGCAGGAACTGTCTACAGCTCCTCTTTTCCATATACAACACAGAAAAGTGAATGGAGCAAGTTACTCCAGTCAATTCTTCAGCAGCTCTGATCACGATTCATTTCTGTGTGATATTTGACACTATTAAAATTTTTATAAATCCCACATAAAAGCACATATTATTTCATAGCCCCAAGGTACATTATCCTTCTGTTTTTCTCATCTCTTTAAGCATGCTACAATCCAAACGATGGATCCGGCACACAAAGAATAGATTCTTGTCCAAAGGGCTGATTTGTGTTATAAATCCATGTCGTAAAACTTGCCACACATTCACAAGCATAACAAGTGAGGCTATATTGTTCCATCACCTGCTCAGGCTGTAGAGCTGCCAGGGTCCTGCCACCAGCTCGAGCCATTTCACCCTGCTGCTCCACCGTAGGACCTGCAAAAAACCCCAAAATAATGCCATGCAGACAATGTAACAGCACACTTGGAAGGGAACACTAGCCCTTCCATTTCCCAATGCTTTGTTCAAAGCAGGAAAGCAGGTACAGAGTCTTAAACAGACATATTCAAGGAATCTGTTGCATGCTAAAAGAGGAAAATCTGTACCTGAGACAAAAACACTGCTACGGTCCCCAAACGAAAAGAGATGATGATAATGATACACCTGATCTTTCCTAGAAGATAGCAATGTAACAGCACACTTGGAAGGGAACACTAGCCCTTCCATTTCCCAATGCTTTGTTCAAAGCAGGAAAGCAGGTACAGAGTCTTAAACAGACATATTCAAGGAATCTGTTGCATGCTAAAAGAGGAAAATCTGTACTTGAGACAAAAACACTGCTACAGTCCCCAAACGAAAAGAGCCATCACAGAGACTCTGTAAGGTCACCATGTCAGAGGCAGGTGTACACCCTGTACCAAAAAGACTTGACAAAGGGCAAAGAACACTAGGACAGCTAAACCTCAGGGCATGGCAAGATACTGAAAGAGAGGAGGCAAACTTTAAAAAGTTTAAGTATCCAACTAAGGAAAAGAGAAAGGATTACGAAATAGCACAGGAATGTACAAACAATAATGGAAGCCAAAACCCAAGTAACAGCTTGCAGAAAAACTGCAGTCTCTCCCTGTGTGCATTTTAGAAAGGTTCCTACAGAAGAAAGGGCATTTTCTTTCTTTTTTTTCTAGCAGGACCTCAAAGAATCTGTCTCAAACGGAAATTATATGGAACAGGTTACTTCCATTTCTGTTTCAAAACAAGTCACCAGGTTCAGGTAGCAATTCCCTAAGAGTTCACAAGTAGCTCATGGATAAACTGAAGAGTGATTTTTAACTCTCCTGAAATTGCGTGTAAAACAGACAACTTGAAGGTGATCAATATAAGCCAACTTCTGTCTAAGAAGGGTCCCATGGAAATTGCCAGAGCAGGAACTCCAACATTATGGAAAATATCCAGAGGAACAGTGGGAAGTGTAAGAAAAGAACTTGTGAATACATGATTAGTTAGACTTATTTAAGAAGTGTTAAGACAGCCTTTTAAAGTGAAGTCATGCTTTACAAAGTAGGTATGTTTTGGTGTTCTTTGAGAAAAGTGCCATGTACATAATACAGTTGATTTTAAAATGTTAGTTGTTTCTAAAGTGTGTTCTTTGGAAGACAGAGGACCAAGAGAAGACTGGAGTATACACTTGCTACAATAGCGGAAGAGTGCCAGTAAAATTCCACAGGGACTTCTGCTATTCTCCATATTTGCAAGTGACTCCAAATGGGCTCACAAAACTAAAAGCTTTGCTGCTGATACAAATTTATGATAGTGGGACTAACCAAAAAGGTCACTATCACACTTTTTCCTGGAAAGCAGCTTTTCAGTGGAGCCCGCGGTCCTGGTGGACACCAAGCTGAACACCAGCCAGCAGCATGCCCTTGCCACAAAGGCGGCCAACGGTGTCTGGGCTGCCTCAGGAGGAGTGCTGCCAGCAGGTCGATGGAGGGGATCTGTCCCCTCCACCCAGTACTGGTGGGGCCACACCTGGAGTACTGGGTACAGCGCTGGGCTCCCCAGTACAAGAGAGACATGGACATGCTGGAGAGAGTCCAACAAAGGGCCACAAAGATGATGGACTGGAGCATCTCCCATGTGGGGAAAGGCAGAGAGAGCTGGGACTGTTCAGCCTGGAGAAGGCGGCTCGAGGGAGCGTCATCCATATGTACAAATTCTTGAAGGGGGGTGTGAAGAAGATGCAGCCAGGCTCTTTCCAGTGGAGCCCAGTGACTGGACAGAGGCAATGGACACTAACTGAACCACAGGAGGTGCCTCCCATCAGGAACCACTTTTGCACCGTGAGGATGATCGAGCAGTGGCACAAGTTGCCCAGGGATGATTTTCACTCTCCATTCTTGGAGGTATTCAAAAGCTGTCTGGACACAGTTCCGGGCAACATGCTGGAACAGGAAGTAAGACAAGATGACCCTACTGTGCCCTCCAACCTCAGCCATTCGTCAATACTGTGATTTCCTCTGCAGCCAAGTCACTAGGGCACAAAACAGCAAGTGTAATTCAAAGCAGATAAATACGAAGCAATGAGGAGGGGAAAAGGAAAATCGGACCTCAGTATTGTAACAAATACTACGAAAACATAATCTCAGTGAACGTGAACATCAAAAAAGCAAATTGAATGTTTGGAATTACTAGAAAAGGCCTAGAGAACATAACAGAAAACATCACTAATCTTATCAAAACTCAGTTAGTCCTGTCACCTCATAAATTAAAGCTTCATTTGTATCTTGAACACTATGTGAAATTCTGATTTTTGCTCATCTCAAAAAGGCCATAATAGAATGAAAGCAGTTTCAAACAAGAGGAACAGGGGTGACCAAGTTTCTGGAACAGCTTCGGTACACAATGTCTAAGACCAAACCTCTTTCACATGGAAGAGAGACGATGAGGGAAAAGATGATGTCTCACATCTTCCAAGTTGAACAGGGGTTGATTGCCCATACAGGCATTAGGAGCACCAAATGAAGCTATGAGGAAGAAAAATCAAAACCTTCCCCACCCCCCCAAACCCAAATTAAAGCAAGCAGTTCTTCACATAGTTCAGCTCCAGGGTTTACACACAGTATCAAGTGGAGGCTCTTGACTATCATGCCACAGAGCCCTGTGGGTTCAAAGGATGATTCGATAAATTAATACAAGAAATGCGTTGGGAATTATTACACACAAAGAAATGCGCTTAGCTTAAAGCACAAGTCAAAAGTATCACTTTGTACTTCACCTATTCTGCTAAGGTCATGGATCTTTGGTCTGACTTTTTCCAGCGATTGTTACACTGTCCCAGCAATGCAGGGGCAGGTAAACATTCCTACCTACCATGCCAGCAGACCGAGTTGTGAAAAGAATTTACAATAAGAAATAAAACTGAACACTATCTTAGTTCAGCAGCACATCCTGTGTCCACATTTTCATACTGAAATCTTGAATATTAGATTATAACCCCCAAGACTAAAAAAGGTAAAAATTCTACTCATTGCATTCTTCAAATGCAGGTCTGAGGCAGCATTTTATCAGCTGGAGGGAACCAGAGCAGAGGATTCAACACTTTCTATTCCTACTTTAGAAAATACCTTTCAAAATCCATTTTTCAAGCAAAGTGTGGTTTCCCGATATTGTACTGGTCTAGCCAAATTTTAACTCTCACCTTTCAGGAAATGTCTACAAGTGTCAATGTACACATTACCTCTGTACTCACCGGCAGGTTTTACCTCTGAAAAAAAAGTTCCAACTTTTTTCCCTTCCACAATATCTGTGATGACATGACCCGAGATCTTTGGGTGGGTTCCATTTGCAATCACGACAGAGGTGCCTCCTTGGAGGGCCCACAGAGCTGCTTTCACCTGCAGTGAAGGATAGAGCCAGTTTCAGGAAATTCACTTGTTATTTGAATCACCACTCTCAACAAGACTTCTTGCTCCACTTTGATCTCCAGATTGATCAACTTATGCTTTCAAAGAGCATTCAACACACTTCAGGAATTTCCATAACGTGGCACTGAATGAGATCAGGTATTTGCACTTTACCTTCCCTTCCTTAACTGGCTGCCACTTCATGAGCATACTTCAAATTTTCCTAACAGCCTGCTTTTTCCAAGACTTCTGCAAGGGCACTTTGGTGATATGTTCTTTTTCACCACTACCTTATGCTGCAAGTTCTTCTTACTGCTTGAAGAAACCCAATTTTCTTTGTTGAAAAGATTCCGTTGCCAGTTTCCCTGACACTGATTAGCCATCAATAATTAATCCACTTTAAGTGACCATGTGATATTACTTGTACTGCAGAGCACTGTTCTTGCTCAGGTCCTAGCCATTATCATATAACATTAAAATATTATTCAATACCATCAGCTGTCTGAATTACTCCCTTAAAGTTTGATCAGCCTAAGCACTCCTCGTGGGTCTAGCTTAAGATGTAGAGGTATTCTCACTGTTTATAACCCTTTGGTGAAGCTATGAAATTTGTTGAAGAGTTACTTAGGTTTCCACACAAAGTTTTTACCTACTTTGTTCACATTTCCTGTTCATGTTCTCATCAGATTTGTTATTTTCTCCTACTTTTTGCTTGGGAGTACAGCTATTGTCCTAATAGTTGTTTCTGTAGCCTCTATTTGAAGACTTTGCACTTCTTAAATTTTGAACTATACGCTTTGTTTTTTGCATTCATCCGCCTTTTTGTTGTTATTTTGGAGGAGGATCCTGTAAGTATAGGATTTAGGAGTCATCTTCGAAGGTCAGGACTGCAGCGTAGTAAGCAGCGTATAGAAACAACATGCACAAGATCTAAGGCAAGAAGCAAGTCTGAAACAAGAACAATCTGATGTCCACAGACACATGGGAGCTGAAACCAATGATACTGCCAGAACACCTGTGGGCTAAAGGCTGTCATGGAGGGTGGGTGAGGAGGCAGGCATCATGATCAAAAAGAGCTCTATGAAATTTAGTATCTTTGCAGACACTGCCCTTAACATGAAAGGCAGCGTGAGTTCCCTTTCTGAACTTCAGTGTTGGCTTAGTCCTTCTACAGAATGTTAAACTTACAGGATTAGCTTATTAGTAAGGGTCCTTTGAAATCCCCATGTACTGATTAGTCCTAAGATTAGCCTCTTTCCACAGACTGAGATACAGTTTAAGGCATCACAACATGATTTCCCTAAAATATGCACCCCTCCAACATTGCACTGGTTCATGCCAAAACACGAAAAGCCAAACCCAAATCTCAGATGTTACCTGCTCAAGAGGTACTGCCTGTGGTCTCCTTCATTTATTTTCCTGATCAAGATACAGGCAGCATTATCCCACCTCTCTGTTTAATTACGTGTCATTTATTTTACTGCAAAAGCTTCTCTGCTTCGTCACTTCTACACTTTCCTGACGTGGTTCTACAATGAGGCATTACAGTCCGTATTCGCTGTGAGACACCACCTGTCAGATACACCTACCACTTCAAACTCTTGACCACCACAAGACCATCAACTCCTCCATTTCTGCTGAAGTTTCATGCTGATAATCAAGACTCGTACTTTGAGCTACCATCTATTTATTCTATTGAAGTTACAGTTTTCCAAAAATATCACCCAACTCTCAACCGTAACAAATTTTTGTTACAACAGCAGCAGTGAGATGTGCCTCTGTGTGCCTCAGACTTAAAGATACCAAATATCCCTAACAGATTATTATTTTTACAATAAAAGTACCCTCTGACCTTGGCAGCTTTCACCTCAATACCTGGAATCATTTAAGCTATTCCAGAAGCCAGATCCAGGGAAAGTTGTTTCTAAATAAGCTCTTTACATCCCAGAGTTACAAACAGAACACTAAAATGCCTCCTCCTTTCGACACCTTCCACTCCACGCTCTGATACTGAAGTGTCTTACCCGATTCTTTAGAAAAGGAAATAAAACATTACTGGTGAAGAATTTAACTTTGGTCTTTCCCTGCTTAGTCAAAATCTACTTCCGTTTTTACAGACAACCTTCCAGAAGTGTCCTTAGGAAACCTGCACCAATTAATCCTACCACAGTGTGTATCCCAGCATCACGAGAGACGTACGCTGAAGTCTCACACCACACCCGTGTCTATGGGCTCACAGCAAGGAATACTGAGCGCATCTGACTGTACGCAGCACTAAAAACCACCAGTCCCCAAGTACTAAAGCACCTTCATCTCCACCAATATATCCCTCAGAAGGAAAGAGCATATGTACAAACTCAGAAAGGAGACAGAGGTGTCATATTTATCCATCATTTATCAACAGTCCTGGCTAA